ATCAGGAACAGTGTGGCCAGCAGGACCAGGGAAGTGATTCTGCCCCTGTACTCAGCGCTGGTGAGGCCACACCTGGAGTGCTGTGTCCAGTTCTGGGCCCCTCAGTTCAGGAAGGATATTGAGGTGCTGGAGCAGGTGCAGAGAAGGGCAACAAGGCTGGTGAAGGGACTGGAGCACAAGTCCTATGAGGAGAGGCTGAGGGAGCTGGGGCTGTTTAACCTTGAGAAGAGAAGGCTCAGGGGAGACCTCGTCACTCTCTACAACTCCCTGAGAGGAGGCTGTAGCCAGGTGGGGGTTGGTTTCTTCTCCCAGGCAATCAGCAGTAGGACAAGAGGGCATGGCCTTAAGCTGCGCCAGGGGAGGTTTAGGTTGGATATTAGAAAGAAATTCTTTACAGAGAGGGTAATGAGGCATTGGAATGGGCTGCCCAGGGAAGTGGTGGATTCTCCGTCCCTGGAGGTTTTTAAGATGAGGCTGGACGTGGCACTTAGTGCCATGGTCTAGCAACAGTAGTGGTAGTGGATCAAGGGTTTGACTTGATGATCTCAGAGGTCCTTTCCAACCCGTCTGATTCTATGATTCTATGATTCTACATAAAAAAATAATAAAGCCTGGATTAGACCTCCTTCAACAGAAAATTTACAATATGATATTTTTTCCTGGTTAGATAATCTTCTTCGATACATCACCCAGAATGAGCGTAGGCAAGCAGAAGGGAAATACTAAAGTGCCATGGTCCGAGGGAGGATGGGGCCATGACACAGCATGGATGAGTTCGGAGACAAGGTAGGGTGCAGATAGAATGCTTTATTGAGGCGTGCACAGGATTTTTTATCAGTTCAGGTGGGGAAAGGATCAGAACATGGGGTGGAGCATGAGACAGACAAACGGGGGAACAAATCGGGATAGGGACACAGGCAAAAGGGGGAGGAATGTGGGAGGAGCCGGAGAAGGAAAGGGCAAATGGAGACTGTCTTGTCTCTGCAGCTTCTCCAGCCAGAGAGGGGAGCGGGGAAGGAAAGGGAGCAGGGAAGCAGGCATGCCTGGGCACGCCCGAGAAATATAAATATAGAGGCAACATACAATGTGCATATTTATAAGCACATAAAAACTGTAAAGTCCTTATAATAAAGTCCTGTCAATTGCTGTATATCTTCCTCCATGCCTGGAACTGTTCCCATCCTGAATCTTGCTCCTTCAGACTAAAGTATGGATGGAACTAGTTTTTTCATAATAGAACACTTGACACAAACTGAAAAAGACTTCAGAAGTTAAAAAAGTGGCGATCCTTTTATGGTCTGACAGAGCTCAAACTCAATAGATACATATTATTGTAATGACTAAACAGAGTCCAGTATGAACACTGTGTGCAATTGCAAATTTTGTCAGGAATCCAATACGTTCACTTTGACTGATTAACCTGGAAACAAGAACTACAAATCCAGACATCATTCTTCTTATCTCTTTGAAGCAAAGGGTATGCACAGCTGAGCATGACAGTTTGTGCAACAGCACTAGAGGTGGACAAGGCTATTTCAGAGATTAACAATATAAAAAACATTCATTCCAGAGTGCACTTCTCAAAAAAATCATGCACTGAATTTTGTGAAGGACTTTTAGAGACAGTTAGATACCCACTTTATTCCTCATTCCATTGTCACTGTAGCCTCGATAACACTTTATCATTTACAGGACTATTTTTTATTTAGCTGGTCTAAGTGCTCATGTTGAAAATGTTTGAAAAGCCAGTTTCATTCATTACAAAACTTTGTGCACTGTCAAAATGAAAAATCCTTGAAAATTTCTCAGAAAACTGAATGAGGATTTCTGAATACAAGTGTTTACTCATATTTAAGAGCCAGTAAGATAAGCGGTACCCTAGCAACTAATTTAAATAAAAACCCAAAATGATTTAAATAAAACCCCAAAATGATTTAAATAAGTATGTGTTCCTTTATTCTGCACTGTGGATGACAAGACAATACAGAGAACTGTCACATGTGTGTTCTGTGCACTTAGAGAGCAATAATTTGAATTCAAATTCTTAATCCTTATGGAAATTTGCTTGCAGATCTTGTCATTTTCAGTGTTTTCCACTGATGGTTTACTAAGAAAAAATACTTCTCACGTGCAGTAACAAATAATTCAAATATCTTAAAATTACTTGAAAGCAGTAATCACTAACTGCATTTCCAGATCCAGATTCTAGCAATGGTTATTCTTTGTTTAGCTAATAACATGAATATTTTATTAGAGCTTCTTAAAAAATTCCTATGGACTTGGAAAAAAAAAATTCAAATAGAAGTTTAAAAAGAAGTGATGCTAAAATGATTTTATAGATCATTCATAAATCACTTTGCATGCATTTCAGAAAATGACCTATACTGACTCAGTAACAGATTTATGCATTTACCATATTCTGAAGTCATTATTTTTCATTTTTATCAAGTGTCTGTAGGTTCTTTTAATTTTTTGTACTCACTTGTAGAACTAGAGTATTAAATTACATATATCAGGAATATGTGATTATTTACATGCATGAATGACATGCCTGAATCCAGCTGGAAATCTTCCTGATGAACAAATACAGTTTTCAGAATCAGTCCAAGTTGGATGGGTTCTTGTCCTTGTACATTGCGGGTTTCTTACCACTGACTCTCAAAATGTCCTTGCACTGGTTCTCCTCTTCCATGAGCTGATCCTATAATAAAATACCAAAGTTGCTCAATGTGACCTCAACAGGCATTCTACCACTTAGTACTCTTTGTTTTTAACTAATTTTTCCAGGCCAAAACTCACAATATAAATTTAATCTTTATTGTTCTTGAGTGTGACTATGAAACTGCTGACTGATTATGAGGAACACAAACATCTTGTGTAGTTTCAAGTGCAGAGAGAGAAAAGAAATCATGGGACGTTCACATCTTCAGGTGCCAGATGTCAAAAAAAAAGCTAAAGATGAGAATTTTCTTTTTCTCTAACCTTGAATGAACATATTGGTGTTAACAAGTAATATCACTACTAGTTGTGGGAGTGTGTTCTTTCCCCATTCCACGTTTCCCCATCGTACACACAATAAAGTGAATTCTTCTGTTGAGTACTAAAAAAGGTAGGGAAGTCTCAGAGAGTTACTGCTAACAACAAACTTTTAGAATTATAAAGAGACAGATGATGTGTTTTCAGTATCCAATGTGCAGGGCAGTAGCCTACTAAGCCATGTTTGTCCTGTTTTAATAATGGTTTAGAAGTGATAATCATGGCAAATTCTTAAAAAGAAAAATTAAAGGAAAAAAGGCTCACCTCTGTATAGAGTTACACAGGCACACTAGCCCATCAAATACAAAGAACATTAGCTGGGCAACATTGCAATCAAGTTTCTGATTTTTTTTAAATGCCTAATCAGTTTTTCATGCAAGCCCTAAATTATGGACCCTGTTAGTTTTCCTGTCTGACCATCTTCTTTCTCTTCAAGCTCCTGTTATCCCAAGCTCCATTCTTCTGGAGTCTAGAGAATTCCAGCAGTAGAAAACATAACCTCCAGCATAATTTTTTGAGAGTTGTTTTTTTTTTTTACTTCTTTTTCAGAGTGGGTCAATCTTTTTACACAGATTTCTCCAGGGTGGCTCAGTTGCAGAGTGAAGAGAATGAGAACAACAACATTAAACATGCACAGGAACTCTCAGATTCCCTTTACTCAGAATGACTCTGCAGCTCTCAGGACATGGGAGCAGTTTGTGGATGTTATTAAAAACCTGCTGCATGTCCATATGGCTACATTATTGTCTGCAGCATCTTTCTGATCATACTAGTCCTTAATTCATAGAGTAAAATAATATATATTTTAAAAATGTTGTCTCCTCCTATATATTCTCCCAAGAAAATTACTTAAACTAATATTTAGCAATTAGGTTTGGAGGAAAAAGTAAGGACACTTACTTAAGATTTGATTTATCAACAACAAATGATTGTGAGAACATTTAAAATTATATATTATTTTAATCTGTTACTGTCTGCAACACCTTTCTGATCATGCTAGTCCTTAATTTGTAGATTACGATAATATAATATATATTATCCTTTATTACCAAAATATGCTGGATGATGATTTTGCTTGATATTGTAACAACACCAATGCCTTAAAATATATATGAAACTTGAACAAAATAAATTGAAACCTGAAATGGAAAATTCTCACATCATCTACCATTTACACAATTTGTGTTTTGACTCTGGGAGGAAAAAAAAGAAGGATCATATGGGTCTGAAAAAAAAAATAGTCCAAAATAAAACTTTAAAAACATTTTAGAAACCACACAGTAGCAGCATTGTATTACTGTCTCTCCATGTTCTTACAGTTCTGGATCAAGCTTTTGAGAGCATAATTATGTGTTGGTGATAAAACACAGGCTCTGCTTCAGGAGGTTGGAGCAGGTTTTGAGCACATATAATTTTAAACAAGCAGGTTTTGAGAGCATGACTTATG